CCTGAGTTCCAGGCAATGTTATACTACCATGTTATCCTCACAGAGTCACTGTAATGCAGTATGTTGTAGTAGACACAGTTCATCCACTTGACCATATCTTTTTTTTTTTTTTTTGGTCTTTTTTGAGACAGGTTCTTCCTGTAGCTCTAGCTGGCCTGGATTTGCTATGGAGACCAGGCTGGCCTCAAACTCATAGAGATCTGCCTGCCTCTGCCTCCCGAGTGCTGAGTGCTGGGATTAAAGGCGTGTGCCGCCATGTCCCGGCCATATCTTATTTTTTAACATGACTCCATGATTGGAATTTTGTGAAGTGTGAAAGGAAGTAGCCCGTCTTTCAGAGTTCGATAGTTTACAAGTCATTACTAGGGGATTTCCTCAGGCCCTGTACTTCCAAATCATGTGGCAGAACCCCAGACCTGGAATTTCTTACAAAAATGGTCATTAGTACATTTCCAGGGGTTGCATGGGCCCATTTATGGCTCGTCTTCCACATGTCACTCTTCCAATATGCACATCCCTAGGCCAGAGGACAGTGCTTGTTAGGGGGCACTCAGAGCTCAGACATACAGACTTGTGATCTGAGATGGGTAGCATGTAACTCTTTGATTTCTATCAAAAGGATAATATGAAGCTATTATACTACTTATCTTTACTAAGAATTTAGAGAAGAAATAAATTTTAGTAATATCACGTAGATTATTATATGCCCCTCTGAATGGCAGTTCTTAACTAGTGGGTACACTACTTTGTTGTGTTTCTGGCAGCTTTAGCCTCTTTTGGCTAAACAGCATACTGGCTTCTAATCTTTTCCCTTAATGGTATCAATCTAAAATGCCTGAGGCGCTTCTTTATATGTAATATGAGCTTATATATACTATGTATCTATTTATACATTATATATATGCTCATATATCTAATCAAGCCAAACTGGTCAAAATGTTCAACAAAACCAGATGCCAATGACTTTTGGGAAACAGGAAACTCTTGAGTTAGTAGTTGGAGCTGTACGTTTCTTCTACTCAAACCCATTAGGCCAGCTTTCACTGTCCTGACTTTCCTGATGATCATTATGGTTGTTATAGTTTCCATTTGTGGAGATAGTGTCCCAGGCATTGGGCTCAGTCAGCAATTGATCTGTATTCTCCATTTAGAGACACAAAGAGAACAAGGGACGTAGCCAGCTGTGAAGTGATAGTGCCATGCCCTTTCTTACCTGAACATTTTCCAACAAATATCTTTGGAAGCCTTGCAGTATACCAGGCACTGTTCTGGTCACACAGGATAAAATGATTAACAAAGAGTCCATGATACCTGCCCTTTTAAGAGATAGTCTGAGTTAAAAAAAAAACATATAAACAAATAACAAAACCTAACAGATACTAATTACAGACTATGAAAAAATAAAGACTATGAAAAAATGTTTGACATGAGCAATGCCTGAGGTGGGAGGATCACAGGGTATGGGTACTGAGTGGTCAGAGTAGCTTCTGTTTGTGTTCTAAGGCAGAATTAAACCCACAGAGTCTGGAACAAAAAGAGAAAGGGGCCCTAACAATGAAGGACTTTAATTTCCAGAGTTATAAGAACCTTCAAAGTTTTTAAACTGGAGGGTCACATGCTGAGACCTGAATTTTTTTTTTATAGACCCCTTTGGTTATCTTGAGGAAAATTGATTGGAAGAGGGCAAAACTGGACTGGGGGCATTATTAGGAAGTAATCATCATTGACTACATGAGAGACCATGGTGGCTTGGGTGGGATGAGTTGGTGGGAACTGGCAGAAATGAGTGAATCTAAAAGATTTTTCAGAAGGTGACAAGTGATAGGTAACTTCTGACAGTTGAGACTGTACCTGTCATGAGCCCAGGAACCGTTTTTTTCATTCACTTTCTACCACTGGCAGTCACAATAATGAAAAGAATAAACCAAATATTTATTAGTGAAGGTCTGAATCTGCGAATAAGTGACTATGTACAGTGTGATTTCATCATGTGATAGTATTGAGGGCCTAAATCATTGAGTTACAGAATTTCTTTGAATTTTGTTTATTTTTATCATTGGTTAATAGGTATTTTCTCATCTGCTTAAGTAAATATGGCTTACTGGACTGAAGATCATTTGGGAAAGAATATTAATTTCTCATTATTAATTTGCACACATAAATTCTTGGGGAATTTAGAAAAAGCCAAAGTATGAGAATAATGTAGAAATAGCCATTTCAAAAGAGTTTTTGTCTGGATAATTTAATTATTCAG